ACACGTGTCAACACCAGGGAACCTCTGGAGGTTGCATGGAGAACAGTTTCTGGAAGGGTCCCTACGGCATCCCATGGATCAACAAATTCCCCACCCGAATTCCACAGCAATCGACACCGTTTGAATGCACTTGTACTGTCTTGTACTTTTAGTGAAGGATGGGCAGCGCGAAGCCCTTTGAGCGAGGCTTGCCAGGCGTCAAAATGGATCGCTGGACACTGCTCACCTTTTTGCTATGCACCTGAAGCCCATGTGAGTCTTTTTGAGGGTACCCCGGTACGCGATGATCTGGTGTGTGTGTGTGAGAGAGTGTATCTCTTGGCCTGTTCGTTTTGCGGTCTTCCAACCCCCTCGCGTGCCCGCGAGACATAAAGGGGAACAGACTTAATTTTGGGGGCTTGGATTGGCATGGCCAGACCATGACTGGGGAGCTTCTCATAATAGGAATCGGTCCCCTAAAATGCTTGGGTTTCCCGTTAACCAACCCAAAGGGGGTCCGAATCCCATTTTGAGAAACACCTGAACCCGGAATCGCAGATTGGACAGGTCACCAGCTGCTCCCACGTGCAAAAGACTGCACACAGATAACTCCTCTGAAAGGCTTGGAAAAAGGCGGATCATTATGAGGATCCGTCTTTTGCTGAGGGTACCCGTTTGGGGTTGGTTTAAGGCGAAACCAAAAGGAAAACCTCGTATTTTGGGGCTAACCCCATGTTTGACAGGTACCCTTACATTTACAAGACAACCATCAAGAGGCGAACAGGCCCTTTGGCAGAGAATCAGATTCACAGACCGCCCGAGAAGAGGCGTCGTTGAAGCTTTGCCAAACATATGTGCCCTTTTGTGTGTGTGTGTGTGAACATAGTTTTGGGGGCCCCCATTTTTTTTGGTGGGTTTCTAGGCGATGTTCCTTTCAAACCTGAAAAGGAAATCCTCAAAAAAACACCTATAAATATCTGGTACAAGCAATCACAAAGGCTACAAGGCAGGAACAACCAGGCCGAGGAAAGACAATGTTCGAAAACATGAGTCAGGTGGTATCATGGAAGACAGGGAGTTTTGCAGGTTTGGCAGCAAGTCTCCTGTCCGCCATGATAGTTGGCAGGATGTCACATACCCCTTGAACACATTCGTCGAGGTCACTCGATGGAACTTCCAAGCATCCGCGCTCTTGCTTTGCTTTCTCAGCCTGGCGATGGGCCAAAGAATGTGAGCACGTGGGGTCAATGCACATCTGGTAACCACCCACTCGCGGGAGGTCAGGCATTTGGAAACAGACCCCAAATGCCTGAGTTGAAACATGTGCCATGGAAATCCTTATGTGAGCCCAAGACGCAAGGTTGACTATCTGACCATGGCATACGTGCCGTGTTGACCATGAACCCCATAGTGGCAATGTCTTCCCAGTGGTTTTGCTTGACTTCTGCGGCATCACTATCCTGATGCCAGCTGAGTTTCCGGCTTGAGCCGTCGTCAAAACATGACCAAGGTTGGTTCAATCTCCCGGAAAGAAACCTCCTGGGGCTTCTCAGGATAGGGAAAGCCAAGAATCGTGGGTCTTCATTTGGTTTCCTATTTGGCTGTGGGTCAAAATCCCGTACCCCCAGTGAACATCTCAATCACCACTAAAATAGACTGAAATGGGTGGTGCACCTACCAAAATGAGATCCCATTGGTTTTCATCCACAGGCATGTTCTTGCCAAGCAATGGGTTTTGAGAAACACCCCATCAGACACGCAGGTCCGCCTCTGCCAAAGCCTGCTGCAAGTCTGCCACCTGCTGTTCAGCATCCGCCTGCACCAGGGAGCGCTCAAGCGGTGAAGGCACTAAACAAGGACTGTGTTCAACCATTCAACCAGCGGTTTTGTGTCCTCATGTTGCTTGGCCAAGATTGCAAAACTGGACACATCAACCTGTGTTTGCCTCGTCATTATATTGGTTGGCCAACATGGAGAATCTTGGGAGATCAACGAGCTCACACTTGGAAGTGCCCATCTTCATGCCATGTGGCTGTGGCTCAAAAACCCGGCACCAACATGGAACCTTGGTAAGTGGAAACATGGACCAAAACCCGCGTAACCCCTCCGGTTTAATTTTGAGCCACAGCCATGTGAAGTCCCCACCAAAACGGATCCACAGGAGCGCAAAGAAGGCCAGAGCCTCTGATCAACCTGCGAGTCGCGAGAGCCTCTTGCGACCTCCGACCTCCTGGACAAACCGCTCGAATTCGATCCGAGATCAAGGGCCCGGCAATCATCTGTTCTTTGATCTTCTGCCTTCCAGCTGTCGACACAAGGGCAGGGGGTGGGGTCAAGATGATGTTTTGTGAAGGCACTCTTTTGAGGGTGGTGAAAGGGGAAAATGAAACAACAATATCATGTCCCCCTATGTTGACACGTTCCAAATGCTGAAATGAGGCCGTGTGCCCCGCAGTTTCAACGTGTAACAGCCGATTGAAAAAATAGCATGCCCGCCCAAAAACAACGGTCATGAAAAACCATCTTATTTTAAGGGGACCCATATCCTGCAGTTTCTACGTTATATTGTTGGGAGGGTATTTGCCGGTCTCGACAAGGCCCGTCACCAGGCAAGTCACAAGATTTCTTGATATGAACTGCGGTGAGGTCCAACTCAGGGTTGCACCAACCCCCTGCACATGTTGAACCCGTTGTTCAAGCAACCTTCCTTGACCTCCCCGTTTAAGGGACACCTGGTCCAATTTCGCCCCCAAGTTCAACACGGGAAATCGTGGGCCCTCTGGCCGGAGCAATACCCTCTGGCCGGAACACGGGGGAAAGGTGCGATACTTCTAGGAGGGGTGGATGGGAAAAAAGCATCAGAGTAGCCTCGCGCCAAACAGCAAGATGCCCCAACATGGAGCAAAAATGCATGTTTTCCAAAGCAAAGGCACCCCCTTGCGTGGCTGCTTGGCAACGGGCAAGTGGACAAAAGCCAGGCATTTGTGGGACGTTGACTCTTGTAGAAGGCGCTCCAGACAGCCTGAGGCCGGGAACTGATCTTGCGCTGACTTTTTGGAGCCGTAGCACCACACCGTTCGGTTGGGAAGAAGCGGACAGGTTCTGAGAACCTTGCTCGGTTGCTTTCTGCTCCCCAGCTAAAAGTTTAACTTTTAGTTGTTCGCCCAAAAGAAAACCCATTCGTTGGCAAAAAGTTGAAGTCCTAACATCCCTTGGCAAAATGCACCAAAGCTTGAAAGAATACTCTATTGAGGGTTCCAGAACCTTTCCGCGCAGATAGGGCCAAAAATGCCGCTCCCCGCCGCCAGATGCGACTGGCCATCTTAACAAGAAGCCAGTGAATTCCAGAATGGCAACTCCCACCCCCTCCCCCCAGACCTCCATAGTCGAGGAATCAATACACCATGGTGAAAGTCGATGGCACAATTCTCTTGTGGGTAAGGGGATGACTCAACCCAACTTTCACCCTACTGCAAGGGTTCCCCATGTTTCTTACTTCAACATCTCACCGGAACTCAGACTCACTTTAAATTGGCCTCGAGGTGATGTTTACCAAACAAATATGGATTTATACGACTTGTCTCAAACTAGGATTCGGACCCTCCAGAGTTCCCCTTGGTTTCCCTTCCAAACCATACAAAATAAGCACCCTCCCAAAGTAAATATAGAACCACAAAAGTTCTATGTGGAAAACCGTGTTCCCTTCAAATTAAAAACACCTGCAGGTTCCTTGGGGTACCGACTCCAAAAAGACGAGCCATCGGCACCGCCTCTGTAGGTCCGCATCGCCCGCGCGCTGCAGCTGCTGCAGCCGCTCCAGCAGTAGTCGAAGCTCCTGGAGCAGCGGTTCGCGTAAAAGTTCCTGGGGGGGGACCTTCCATTTCCATTCTTTCCAGGAAACCATCCAACAGGAAACCATGCGAACCATGTCCTTTCTCGTTGGATGGTCTCCATTTCCGGAAATTCTAGGGGATCCTTCTTTTCAGGAAACGAAACGGCCGGTTTTTGAAAAGAAGGATGGTTGAAAAGAAGGGGGAATCAACCCCTGGAAAAATGTGTTTTCTCGTTTTGTTTAGGAGTTGGACCCCCCCAAAATGGTGCTTGTTTCCATTAGTTGCCCACAAAAAACATGCTACCCTCAAAACAAAGACGGTCGCCCACATGGGTGACGCGTCTTGTTTAAAGGAGTGGGACCCCGAACATGGCGCAACGGTGTTCAACTTGTGGTTTATTTTGTTATACCGCCGAGGAAAAAAAGAGTACCACCTCAAACAGAAGACGGTTTCCCAAAATGGGTAACTCGCATCTTTTTCAATCAGTTGCTGCCCTAGTAAAAACAAAGCTTTGAAGGGAAACCAAAGGAACACCGCTAAGCCATGTTGGGGGTCCGATTCCGAAAGATAAAGTGCGCTAGCACAGTCCCCCAGCTTCCAAAATGGATGGTTTTCCTGTTGTTCCCCCCCTGAAACGGGGTACCCTCAAAATTAGGGACCCTTTTAGGTGGCTGGCTTTCCGCGGAGAAAGGTTTGAAGGTACCCTTTTTGGTGTGTCGTGGATAGCCCCTCAATAATCTTGGTGCAAGCCGGCTGGCTGTGGTGGAATGACATATCAAACAATCCGGGGGATGTTTATTTATATGGCTGTGGGTCAAAAATATGTACCCAAAATGGAACCCTAGTAAGTGGAAACATGGAATCAAGCCTGCAATCCCCAGGTGGTGTAATTTTGACCCATACCCATATGAGGACTGGCAATCATTGCCGCAATGGAATGCTCTCGCAGGAACCTGGGATGCGAATTCGCATCCCAGGTTCCAACCCACGTGCACTCCCAACAGCCCCACTTGGGAGTGCCGCGGGGACCTTTTGAAGGGCCCTGTGTTTTTGTGGTGTCTCCTGGGGAATCTATTTTTGTGTGTTGATTTTTTGTGTTTTCTTCTTTTGTGTGCTTTTGTGTGGTTGTCTCCATTTAAGAAGGTCACATAGGGATCTTGGGCGGTGCCAAGTGTCCATCCTACGTGA